CACATAGTCCTGGCACGGCTAATTATAACAGTGACAATCAGTGGACAGTCGGAGAGAATTCCACTCTTCCTCCGTCCGTTCAGGACGCGGCCTAGTGCCAGTCGCCAGTCGACTGGCCGGCTTCAATAAATGCATATGACGGATTAAAACAGCAAAAAAAGTGCCTCAAACCGATAAATGTGCAATATTCACTCTGGCGGGGATCGACGGTTTATATCCGGCCAGTCGGCTGATGAAACATAACAGCTGCGACTCGAATGAAAATTGGTTTTCACGCGTTCGGTGGCGGACCTGTCGGCGCGACGCGAAATAATGCATCAAAGGCGCACTTTTCCCTCCTGAAACTAATGTTGTCGGAAGTCGGAGTTGTCATCATCACCAGAGGCCGCGGCGCGTGTACGTTTTATTTCGCCGTGTTTTGTTTTTAGCACGTGATTTTTTAATGAGGTTGATGAAAGCGGGCGGCCTTTCGAATTTGCCGTGGTGAGCAAACCACACCATAATTATTTATCTCCAGCGCGGCTGTCTGTGACTGACGCATTTTGGTACAACTCTCGGCTTCAAGATTTTTGTTTTAAAAAGAAAAGCTCATTTTTCATAACTTGCGGCGGCCGCACCGATGCTCTTTGAATCTCCATTTGGCGCGCAAGGTCAGGTCGCGTGCCTTTGCCGCTGCCGGGTGTTACGTAAATGGTGCACAGGCAGGGATTTTGAATAGCGGGACTGCTGGGGCGCGGGCCTGGCCGGGCCTGGCCCTGGCTGCTGAATTGAAATTTACTCCCGTTCTTTCTGCCGCTGCGCTGTGCCGTGCTGCCAGCCCCAACATGTAACCTCCTTCCAGGCTTGCCTTGCTTCCAGCGTGCTTCCAGCGTGCTTCCAGGTCGGCCCTGGAGTCGCCCCGAGCCGAGATGAAAAGATTTGCGTTATGTACGCACGGGTGCCTGACACCGCAGCGCGCGTGCCGTGCCGCGCCGTGTCGTGCCGCGCCTTGCCCCGGGAACAAAGAAAAATGCCGATGTATTTCTGAATTAGCGAGGCTCTGGAGCCGGAAAAGCGCTGCTTGCCCCAGAGGTCCCCTTTTTCCCGCCATTTTCCCGAATTTCTCCGTTGTTGTCGATCGCGGAGTTCCCTTGTTTGAATAGGGCGCTTCCTCGCCGCCGCCGCGGTCCGTCTCACTGCAAAAAAAAGTTCGGGGCTGCACGTTTTCCTTGTTGAATTATATCGCCTAAGGGGTCAAATTTATCTTTTCGAGGATGAGGGTGGGTGGGTAGGTACGGATAAAATCCATGGGGATGAATTTACCTCTACCCCTGACTTTTTACAGTGTCTGGCAGGATGAAAGAAGCTGGTCTGCTGAAATGATTCCCCCCTCCCCCTGCATCACTGCCTAGCAGCGTAGTGCCACTCGCGCGGCATCCCCGTCTCCGGCATACCTTGCCCCCCCCCTCCCGGAGCGGTTCAACGCGTAATAATTGCCAAGTGAGTTTGCGAACTGTTGCGCGAGGTTTGTGATTCACGCGGTTGGCAACAATGCTTCAGTTGTTGTAGGGCCTGGCGCGGCCTGGAGCGGCACGCAGCGGCTGCAGGCCGGCCAACTTAGGGGCGCCGCCTCGCCGCCCCCGCCGCCCCGCGATGTGTTATGAGCGTTCCACCAATTAAAACTTGTCCTCACAACAACTCTATCTTGTGTGTCTGGTCAGGGGGGCTGTTTTAGCCGTCCTCGGCCGCGTCGTCCCCTAGCACCAACCCTCCCCCCTCTCTCCTCCTCCCTCTCCCCCTCCCCCTCCACGGAGACCAGCACACCGCGAGTTTAATCACGAATGAGAAAAAGCTGCGGGCCTAGGCTGCCGTGCCGTATGCGGGCGCGAAAATAGTTCATACCGCGCGACAGGGCTGCCAACCGTCAAAGAAAAATGAGGGAAAAAATATGCAGCGCTTCCGCCGGGAGTCGAACCCACGACGGCTGGGGGGCGCGGCGGGGGAGCGAACAGTGTGTCGAGCAGCTTGGCGTGCTAACCGCCTCAGCCACACGGCACGCCGAGGGCAGGCAGGCCGAAGGCAGCCGAAGGCGCGCTGAATGGCATTAGCCCCAAAGACACACACACACACACACACACACAGAGCCGTGCACAGCGCGGGTTGTTAAAAGGCAATCCGTCACGGAGTCGGCAAGTCGGCACCATCATTCAGGTCGCGCTCGCGGTGTGCCAGGCCATGGCGGTGCCAGGGCGGTTCCGGCACGGGCCAAATTTCCGATTTGAGCCACTCCACTGGTATTGTTCTTTAACAGTGGCCAGAGGCTGGACTCGAAGATAACACAAATCATCATCTTTTTCGGGGCTGCGGGCTGCGGGTGCAGTGGGCATGCGGGTGGGGCCATGCGACGCGGTGCCTCACGCCGCGTCGGTCCGCGTCAGTCACTGGGGAAGACCATTTCCCGCCTCGTCCAGACACTCCGCGTGACGGCTCAAACGGGGGCATGATGAATGGAAGCGGCCGGGAGTCGAACCGCGCCCCCCACCTGTTGGGTATCCGCGCCGATTTTCCAAGCCGCTTTTCCGCTTTACCCCCCGCAGGTAGTTGCAGAGAGACCGCTGCGTGAAGCTGCGAAGCTGCGAAGCAGGCAACCATGCGAAGCCCCGGCCGCCGAAAACACGACTGTCGGCGCATTGTTTGTGTGGTAATGGAATGTGCGGCGGTGCGCGATGGCTGCAAGGACTCTCTCCCTCTCTCTCGCACCCGTGGGGCGGCCCATCTGGGTGCGAGAGAGACAGAGCGACGGCCTGCAGGGCAGCGTGGCCATTAGCTTGAGGGGGTCAGGCATGGCACTGGTACGCAGCAAAAAGGGGTGGGGGTGAAACGGGGTGGGGGAAATTAGGGGGCAGGGGGTAGTTTGGGGCACGCTGCTGCTACGCCACTGCCGTCGGCACGCACCGCCGCCCCCCTCGGCTCCTTCCGGCGCCGCTAAGGCAACACGCGTCGAATATTCAATTCACCTGGAAAGAGTGGAGAGAGTGGGGACGACGAGGGCCAGAATGAGCCGCGTTTTTTCCCTACCCCTCTGAGTGGGAAGGGGAGGGGGGATGTGAATGTGAATCGGGAGAATTCGGATTTATGCGCGCGGGGTTGTCGCGAGGAGCGCTGCTTTTTTCTTTTTGTTTGTTTTTTTTTCGTCCGGCCGCGCGCCGCCCGGCCGCCGGGGGGAAGTCGTCAGGGTTTTAACTCGGCGCTGCTGCTCGGCGCGGCGCGCTGCCCGAGGCCCTCAAGTCCCTGGCCGCCCCGGCCTCGGCCCCGGCCGCCAGGGCTGCGTGTCCTCGCGCCGTAGCGCCGCGGAGCGCGCCCCGATGGCCGCCCGGCCGGCCCTGCCCGCCCTGCCCGCAATGGGTCCCCAATGGGCGCAAATAAGCAGTCCGAGCGCCGTCATAGCGCCCTACAACACCTGCTGTGTGCCAACAAGCCGAGGCACGCCCTGGCACGCCCCCTGGAACGCCCTGGCACGCCCCCTGGAACGACCTGGAACGCCCGCTGGAACGCCTTCGCACGACCTGGAACGCCTCCTAAACCGCCCTGGCACACCCTGGAACGCCCCCTGGAACGCCCTGGCACGCCCCTTAAACGCCCCCTAGTACGCCCTGGCACGCCCTGGCACGCCCACTGGAACGCCCTGGCACGCCCTGGCACGCCCTGAAACGCCCCCTAGAACGCCCTAGAACGCCCTGGAACGCCCCCTGGAACTCCCTAGAACGCCCTGGCACGCCCCGGAACGCCCCCTGGAACGCCCTGGATCGCCATGGCACGCCCTGGAACGCCTTGGAACGCCCAGGTGCGGGTTGGCTGTCTCGGCCCCTAATGTTACGGCGCCTCCTTGAGGACCCCCCAGGACAGCCAAAGCAGCCATCGTCCACCTGGGCCTTCAGGCTTTTATGTGGCCCTGCCCCCGTCAAAACTTGGACAGGCGTGTCGCTCCACTGCGAACTGGGCCAACTAGAAACGGCATGGGCGTGCGCGCCGCGAAGTATGGACGAAGTGCACCGTTTGCTGGCACTCTGGCAATCACGGAATGGAGGCAGCACTCGAACATTCAGGGGGAAATTACGAGTCAGCGTTAACTTGTGTCAATTCGTGCCAATTTGAAACGGCAGTGGGCTGCGTTCCTATCCACACACTCATCGTTTGTTTTAAAATTTCACTCTGCAATCGTTGGTGTGTGACGTTGCGATTCACGGCCGATCAAAAGGCCCTTAACAGTGTGTCGAGACAAAGTGGCTGCGAAATAATTTAGGCGGCGCTGCCGGGCGTCCTTCCGCGGACTCGTTAACAGTGCATGAGGATGCAGAGCGATGCGGGGCGGCGCGGGGCAGGTTGCCAGTGTGTCGGCCGGACGGCCGGACAGCGGGCCCAGTTTCCGATGTCGCCGTTTAAAACGCCCCAACAGCTGTTGTGCCAGGCTGGACCTAGCTTCCCCCCTCCCCCTCCTTTTCCCACAGGGGGAAG